TCCCTCTCTGTCCTCCATCTGGGCAAGAAAGAAACACAAACAGTTATCAAGGACCAAATAAGCTGTTCCATCTCAATCCATTTCTGCACATGCCTGTGACACCTTCCTCTTTCATCTTAGCAGTATCTGGCACCTGACCACTCAAACCAGGATTTTTTTAAGAACATCTTTGGATTTCACCACACCAAGCCTTCCTCTGGGGGCACTGAGCTGCCACAAAGTAGAAACGGAACTTTCCTAATCTTTCCCTACCCAGCATGGTGTAATGGTTAAGAGTGGTGGACTCGTAATCTGGCGAACCGGGTTCGATTCCCTGCTCCTCCACTTGCAGCTGCTGGGTGACCTTGGGCTAGTCACACTTCTCTGAAGTCTCTCAGCCTCACTCACCTCACAGAGTGTTTGTTGTGGGAGAGGAAGGGAAAGGAGATTGTTAGCTGCTTTGAGACTCCTTAGCGTAGTGATAAAGTGGGATATCAAATCCAAACCCTCCTCCTCCTCCTCCTCCTCCTCCTCCTCCTCCTCCTCCTCATTAAATACATAAAGAACATAAGAACATCCCAGCTGGATCAGACCACTAGTTCATCTAATCTAGCATCCTGAGCTCAGAGTGGTCAACCAGTTGCCCCAAGGCCAGATTTGCATGTGTTCTAACATAAATTTGTTTCAACACATTCTCTGTGGATTTAAATATATATTATATTTACGATAAAACTGAATGCATTTTCACATAAAATACAGATCTTTGTATACATTTCCCCATAGAATTTGAAATAAATAAAAAAATAAAAAAATTGTCCAATAGCACCTTAGAGACCAACTAAGTTTGTTCTGGGTATAAGCTTCCGTGTGCATGCACACTACTGGACAATTTTTTATTTATTTTATTTATTTTGACTGCATCAGACCAACATGGCTACCTACCTGGACCTTAGAATTGGGTGTAACTTTGCCCCTAAGGCACACATTTGTATATGGCTCCTGTGCATTTTCCTCTACAATAGCATATTTTTGTATGTGTCTTACTATATAGAGATGCCCACCACTGCAGGTAGATGACAATCAAAGCAAATGGAAGGTCAGTAGTTTCAGGAAGGCAAGTCAAGTAGGATCAGCACCTTGGAGAGGGATTTGGATGCAGGTTTCAGGACCACTTTTTGTGTTCCTGCTGCTGAGCCAGAACATGAAAGTTGTTTCAGCAGTGACCTGGTGAAACTGGCAGATCTTTACAGGCTATGGCAGATATCAACTGAACTAGAGCCCCCATCCCTCTGAATGCCACATCTGGCCAATTAAAGGGCCGCTGCCTTCTTCTGCAGCCAACGACTTCTTTCAGCCCCTTTCATATGGCTGTTTCTTCTGGGCTCTCCTGATCCTCCAAGGGAATCTGTGGACCAGTCATCGGAGTCTGGTAGCAGAGATGCTTCTTCAGGGTTCAAGGAAGGAGATGCAGTTCCAGTGACCATGACTCCATATGGAATGAACCAGGAAGTGGGTTCATCTCTACTTTGGGACTGCCATTGTCAGAGGACTCTAGCTTCAAGGATTCCTGGTCTGGAGCAATTATGGCATCCCTCCCACACCCTCATATACACACATTTTTGTATGCTTTCACCCTTCTAAAATATGCAAAATTGTGCACATCTCCCCCATAAAAAATACTCACTTTTTGTATGCATTTTTTAAACAAAACTGCATCAGAAATATTGGGGAAGTACAGAGTCTAAATGGTCTCTGGGTTCCAACCCATGCATTATTCTGAGAGCTGAAAATCAGGCCAATTCACTTAAAAATGCTTCCTGGGTGAAATTGTCCTCCATCCTGTAGCTTTTATAGCTCTTAACAAAAGATATCGGGGGGAAATGTATGGAGGACAGATTTATTAACTACTATTACTTTTGAACTAAATAGAACCTGCATGCACTGCAGCAGTACAGCACTAAATATGAGACACTAAGGGGAACTAACAGGGATGGGCAATCATCAACATCTATTGATACCAAGCTCCCAAAGGTATATGCTTGGCTGTCATTAGAAGCAATTTTCTGGAAAGAGGGAAAACTTTCTAATCAAACAGTGCTGGCACTTAAGTCAGCCTTTTCGCAACCTGGGTTCATCCAGCTGTTTTGGACTACAATTCCCATCAGCCCCTGCCTGGATAGCCATGCTAGTTGGGGCTCATGGAGGTTGTAGTCCAGAGCAGCTAGAAGGAACCAAGTTTAGAAAGACTGGTTTAAGTCAGTGGTAGCCAAACTTGGCCCTCCAGCTGTTGTGGGACTACAACTATCATCATCCCTAGCTAACAGGACCAGTGGTCAGGGATGATGGGAAATGTAGTCCCAAAACAGCTGGAGGGCTGAGTTTGGTCACCACTGACTTAAGTTTTTCACTTCATTTTACTTAAAGCTAAATGTCAGCTCGTCTGAATTTGGAAGAAAACTGTTAGAGAAAATGTCTTTTGTGAAACAGGGGGCACAAACACAAGTGTGAAAAAACAGCTTTTCCATTTCTTAATACTTAGGAGTGCTTAGGAGGGAAAAACACCCTCCATTCCCTTCTGACTTCATTAATCTAATTCTTGCTCATATATCAAAGTGTAGCGCATTTCCTTGTAAAAATGATTAAGCTGCTAATTAAGCTGTTTATAACTTGTTTCCCTGGTTGCTAATGATAATTAACATGCAAATTAGCTGAGGGAAGAGAGGCGCAGGGGTCCTCAGTTCATTACGAAGTTAATTACTGTTTGCATACTTAAACATTACAGTTATAAATGGTGGCATTTAATGTAATGGGCAAGCTGATAATTATGCCAGCGACATTTTGAAAAGTCATTTTCGCTCTATGTTTCTCTCCCCCCCCACACCCCAGCCCCAACCCCAGGTGATTAATGTCTTTATGCTTGGCTGATAAACTTAGTTCAAAAACCAATATAAGTTGGGTACGCTAGTGTAACCAAATAACTTATCGTTTAACAATAATATGCTGCTTTCTCTGTTCTTGATTTAAAAGTAGGGAGGAGAGGAACTTGCAGAGAAAATTGGCAGCCCAATTGCAGTAACAAGCAGGTGAGACCTGAAACAAAATGCTGCAATCTATCCTTCCTCATACCAGGAATGCTCCATTTCATGGTTCCTGCTCTCCATGTCCTCATCCAGGACACCATTTTACAATCTCCATTTTCCACCCCACCCCCCAAAAAAACTATGGCACCCAGTATTCTATGGCTACTATGCATGCTTAGCCAGCCCTCATTAGGTTTTGGGAGGTATAGGTTATCAAATATATATATAGGTATTTCTGAAAATTGACAGAATTTCTCCAGGCATGCTAATCTCACTCTCTCCTTCCTCAAGGCCCTCATTTTGCTCCAATACTTTTGGCACACACCACCTGAGTTCATTGTTAAAGGGAAAGTGTGCTGGTCCCAGGGGCTAACCAAGAGACGAGGTCAGAGTCCAGTCCGAGGTCGAGGGTGCTGTATTGAAGCCGTCCATCAAAGCTGAAGCTGGGTCCAAGGCAGGGAGTTAGGTGGGTTCAGGAGATCCGGCAGGGCAGGGTGCAGGCAGGAACTGACTACCAACAATGTCGCTCCTACAACTTGGGGCTGGGGCTGGCTGGCTTTTATCTGCCCCAAGGCATAGGGTGGCCCCGGTCCACAGGTGACTCGCCTCTCCTGGCCTGGAGGCGAGCACTCCTCCTGCAGGAACTTAGTTCCCTCCACCTCTCTGCCCTGAGCCTCTGCAGCTCAGGAGAGGCTGGAGGGTTACCAGACCCAGAGGCAACCTCAGCTTCCCCTGACGGGGCTGAGAGTGGAGCACCTGCGGGCAATGGGTCCTCTATCAATTCAGGAGTCAGAGCAGACTCAGCTGGTGCCTGCACCTGAGGACCCAGCACAGGTGAGGACCTTTGAGGCTCAAGCCCCAGCCCCGGCTCAGCTGGTTCTGGAGGCGGGGAATCCTGTGCAGGCTGGGATTCCTCAGGTTCAGTCTCCGAGTCCGAATCCCAGGCCATCACAGAAAGGGGTAGAAGTTCAATCCAGCAGCTCTGGTGCATATAAGAACCACTTGGCTGATTGAGACAAACGGTTAATCCATTCCAGCATTCAGTCTGCAACATTGGCTAAGTCACCAACCTTTCTGGGCCCATCACCACATATGGATCTTTGAGTGAATGCCATGGGTGCCAGCCACCTCTGCTCTGGTCATGTCCAGTAATCTGAACCTTGGGAAGGACATGGAGCTGGAGGATGAAATGGGGAAGAGTATTACTCTTCCAAGTTCCTCCTCCAGCTCACTGTTCTTTCCACCTTGTCACCAGTGTGGGTGGGTTTCAGAGACTTCATTGGCACCAGGAAAAGACCCCAAGGGCACCACTGCACCCACAGGCATGGAATTGATGACGCCAATACCTCCAGAAGCATGATAAATCCAGACAGTTATTCCACAATGCTCAGTAATAAGAGGTATATTGTTTCTGAATGTGGAGGCTCAGAACATTGGGCTGTATCCATTGCTACTCCTACTCAGAAGTTGGTGGACATGACTCATTTCGATCCATCGATTAAAATGTGTCTTCTCTGAGTAGGATTGAGCTGGAGACAACCTACTGTCTCCGACAGAGGGGGATGAACATAGCCATTGGGGCTCATAGCCATTCTTAGCTTTATCGTTGAGGATTTGACTAATCCTCTTTTAAAGCCATCCAAGTTGGGTCCAACCCCATCTGTGAACTATTATCATAGACATCTTATCAACTGCCCCCCAATACTATGAAATATTTGGAAATAGCCAGAACCCCACCAAATTCATATCTGTAACAGCTAAGCTTGCTTCATTCTCCCCTCCACATATTAACTTGATAGTTTTATAATTTTTTGTAGGATGCTTAGAGGTTTTGCTATAATCAAGAGGCATATAAATTGTGTTAAATACATAAATATGTTATCTACTGTAATAAGAATTGAGCATCCACATTCGGAGCATCCATGTTCGGAGGTGAGGAACCAGATGCTGGAGACAAAGAACCAGGAGATCATAGTCTCCTTCATCATGTACTTCTTGAGAACATCTTGTCATCCTATGCTGGATAAGGTGTTGCTGTTCTTCAACTGGTTAAGGTGTTGTTGTTCTTCAATTGATTAAGGTGTTGTTGTTCTTCAATGCCTGTCAGCCCTAGTCAGCATGGTCAATAGTCAGGGAGGGTGGAAGCTGTAGTCCAGCAACAGGTCCCTCAGCTTTGCCTTAAGGAAACAACCCGACACTTGTTGGCATCACTTTCCCATGTATGACTGCAAGCCAAGTTATATTCCTCCCTCACCCACCACCCACCCACCCACCCAGAATCAGAAAATAGTCTGGTTTATCATAGAACCCAGCCAAATTTGGTAGCCCTTTCATCCCTCAAGCCCTGTGGAAGTTGGTCCATGCAGGTAAATGGGTAATGAGCATGTCAGCTTCCACTTCCCCCCTCTCAGTACTCATAGAATCATAGAGCTGGAAGGGACCCCAGGGTCTGCTGGGATGCGTCCAAGGGAACGGGGGCAATTGGCAGGCCCCCAGCTGGCTCCAGCCCACCGGTCGGCAGCCGGGCGATCTCCAATCATTGGATCAGCAAGTAAACTGCGACTCAAGCCTCAAAAACCTTCAGAAGCTGAACACGCAAGCCAGCAGAGAAAATAACTCTTAGCAACATAAGGGCAGAGAGAGGCTGTGTAAAACATATTTACAGGCATTTTATTTAGCATCAGGACAAAGGGAAAAACATGTGTTCTCCCCTTCGTGTCCAAGCAAACAGCAATAAGCAAAAGCTATACACACAACGGAAGATCCCAGCAAGCTGTGCTGTGCTGGAGTGTAAACAGGCATGTGACACACAACAATCATGCTTGTTCCTTTTAAGGTGGAACGGAATATTCTAACAGGGTCATCCAGTCCAACCCCACTCAATGCTAAAGCATCCATGACAGAAATCCATCCAACCTCTGCTGAACCTCACCTGCCTGCCTTCTTCCTTACCTCCACTCCAAATGGGAGGCAGCATCGACTGTGAAAATTCCTCCTCCTTCGTCTTCATGCTGCCCTTGTAGAGCTCAGCAAGGTAGAAGATGGGGACAAAACTTAGTTGGAACAACTTTGTCATTGGCTCTGGCTCCACCTGCTGTTGGGTTCCCAGCCTTCTGCCCTACCAACCCCAAAGGGCATCACCCCCTGAACGATTTCACATTCACCCACCCCATCACATCCACTGAATCCCCTCCTGCTTTCCTTTCACTCCTTTTTACCTGGCTGGGCTGGTGGCTGTGGTGGCAGCATTTGAGACAGGTGCTTATAAGCCCCTCTCCTGAAGAGCTGATAGCAAGCTGTGGTGGGTGAGATTTATATCCAGAAAACAGCAGAGGGAGAAATGGCTTACACACTCCTTTCCCTTGCCTTCTTGTTGCAATGGATATTGGATCCCTTTGCACCCAGGAGTTCTGCAGTCAGATCTCTTGCATCACAAGTGGCTCACTTGCTGAAAATCCATGGAGTTGATTCCTGCATTGCCAGGGGTTGGACTAGATGACCCTTGGCGTCCCTTCCAACTCTGCAAGTCTATGTTTCCATGATTCAGTGATTTTCTGCAGAAGGGAGACTGTTCTAGGGCACACATCTGGTTCAGAGGGGATTTTTCTTGAGACTGTGGCAAGGGTGGTTTTGGAAGGGTTAACCTCCCCTTCTCTGTTCACTGTGGATCTGATTTGATTGAGAATCCACCCACCCATAATACATATATATTTTAAAACAAAGATATTGAGTTGCATACAATGCTAGTCTGACTCAGAGTAGATCCATTGAAATTAATGGAATGACTAACTTGGGTTCATTGATTCCAATGGATCTATGCTAAGTTAGAATGGATAGAATGCAATCTGATTTTCCCAATCTGAAGTTCAGCTTTCCACTTTACACATCGGTTCATGGTTGTTGTTTCTTTTAAGTCCTCATGAAAATTCACTAGCAATTTAGTGAAAATTTAGTGAGATTTATATGTAATCTTGCCTAACAGAATGCATTGGAGGTTTTCAAACAGAGGTTGGGTAGCCATCTGTCAGGGACTCTAGCTGAGGTTCCTGCGCTAGGTGACCTTTGTTCATTCCAGTTCCACAGTTCCATGATTCCATGATTCTATGTTTGTATGTTATTTTCATTAACATATGCATTTGTCTGCAAATTTCAAAGGGCAGCTGTGTTTCGCTTTGCACATTGTTTCAGAAAGTGAACTGAATCAAGTTTCTCCACCATGCTTACTTCTGACCGTTGGCCTTTGGGGGAAACACTGGTTTTTTAGCTGGCCAAACTGTAGATGCAAAATCATCCCCCCCTGCCATTTCATGATAAGCCATTAGAGGGTGCCAGCATTCTTTATGTAGTTCTTAAAAGTTCCAAACAAACATAGGAAGCCTGTTTGAGCTGGAAAAAGCAGAATTAATGAGAGGAAAGTGTGATGGAGGGGATCTTGGCTACTTTTTCTGCAGCCAGAAATCTGCATTGAATGGGTGGCTTAGAGCAAGAAGAAAAAAGCTAAGGGGCTCCTTGGACCGGTCTCAAAAAGAACTGTTCGAAGCAAAGCATATCCATCCTTTTCTAAAATGTCACTTCAGCCTCAGGGCCTCCACTCACCTTTGCACCTATTCACCTGTTTTAGGCCAGTTTATAGGGAAGAAAACAAAAAATAGTTTAAGAACTACAACAGCAATCAAATTCATCAACCTTGTTATTGAAATGTTCATTCTTATTTATGGTTCTGATCATTTCTCCCTTATTATTATTTCATAAAATGTATACACTGCTTGATTGTGGGGGGAAAAGCCCTCAAAGCAATTTACAAAAAAAGGTAAAACAATAAAATGATTGGCAAAAACAATTAAGAACAATAATCTAAAGCATTCAAAAAATTAAACCAACACAAAGACTCCTATTTACATAGGCTGAGCTGAAAACGTGTCTCCTGTGGTGGGGTGGTGAGGACTCTAAGGTTTGCCTAGGTGTTAAATAACTTTAGAAAAAAAGCTAGGGTGGGAATAGCTTAAAGACATCAGTGGGGCACAAAATACCGAGTTTTGATGGGCTGAGGGGAATGCAGGGGACCCTGTAGCCTAGTACCATCTCTGACCAAACTTGCCAAGGTGATCTCTGGTTTTGTGTTAGAAGACTTCAGTATCCACATGGAGGCTGCCTCTGTGCTGGCACTGGGACATTCCTTCCTTCCTTCCTTCCTTCCTTCCTTCTTCTCTGCATTTTTCATGGCCACCATGACAACCATGGGGCTGTCTCAAACGGTCATCAGTCCAATGCATCGGGAAAGGGTACAGCCTTGATGCAGCCTTAAACCAAGCAATATGAGGGATGGACAATTTGCTCCTCTAAAGCTGATGGGCCCATATGGAAGGACCACACCAGAGGGTGATAGGGTTCCTGAATGGTAGGGGGGATTTTCCAGTGGAGAATCCTGTCAAAGCCCTGGTTTCGCTATGGAATGACAATATGAAAGGGGTTGTTGAAACAATTGCTCCCAAGTGTCCTCTTTGGCCCAAGTGGGTCCTTGGTATTCTGGGAAGCTTTGGTCTACATAGCAAGCCGGATGAAGACTAGACCGCAAGTGGTGCAAGTTCTGCTCAGACAACTGGTTAGTGCACCTAATCATGCCTTCCATGTGGCAGTGCAGGCTACAAAGAAGGCCCATTCCACAGCTTGCATTGCCTCCTCTAGTAGCTGGCCAGCTGTGTTATTTCAGACAGTCCGGAAGTTACTGACTCCAACTGAAGGGGAGGAACTTGCTGCAACCACCCACCCACACATTTTGAGGATAAAGTCACTTGACTTTGGAGTGACCTTGACTCTTCAGTTATTGTAGTTCCAGGTGATGTATCCAATGCCAGAGTTGGTGGTGTGTTGTGGGATCAGTTTCAGCTGATGTAGTCAGCTGATGTGGACAAGGTGCTTGCAGCTATACAGTGACTATATGCCCTCTTGACTCTTGTCCCCCCTGTCTTATTAAATCTAGTAGAGTGCGGTTTGATTGGTTGGGTCTAACATGTGGTTAATGCTGCCTGCTACCTTGAGAGAGGCAGTGGTGTGGCTTCTCCCCAAGAAACTAACTCTGGACCCTTTGCGCTGGAAAAAAGCTATTGACCAGCTGCAAAGGTCAAGGGTTGAGCTAGCAATGTCATCCCAAATGCCTTCTCCAGGGGTTAATTTGTTTACTTAATCTACTATTCCACAATGACCTTGAAGACTAGCAACTCAACGGCCTGTAGTTTAGCACAATGGGAACAAGAATCAACAGGCCTCAAGTTTAAACACTTCCTTCTCTCTTCTCCTCTTCCTCCCTCCACAAAACTATGTAGAGGAGCTTTCTAGCATGCTCTTCCCACTGTAATCCTAACCACAGTTTGTTGTTACGTTCAAACTGAAAACTGATTAAAGTATGGTTTATTAAAACAAGCCAAGATGGAAGCTGTGCTTTCCAATGTTTCAAAAAGAGTTTAAACTAGCCATGGTTTCTGATTTGGAAATAACAGCAAACTGTGGTTAGTTTAAACTAGGAAGTGGAAGCTTTCATTGTGGGTCTGCCAGGCAAAGGCAGAAGGGAGTGTTGAATTCACATTCCACTAAACTGAAGATAGGGAACCCATGGCCCCTTAGATGTTCTTGAAATCCTGCTCCCACCAACCCCAGTCAGCACAAACAATGGCTGGGGATGGTGGTGGGTGTAATTCAGCAACACCCAGAGGCCCACATGAAACTGCATGAAACCAAGCCAATGTGTGAATTGCTGACTGAATAGTATGCATTTAAGGGGAGATGAATATTGCATTTGTGGTCTTACATTTGGCTCCTTCACCACAGAGCTGAATCAAACACATATCAGAAAAGAATTTTAAAACCACACTGATAAAATTTTAATGATTGTATTACACGTAAGGGCCTTTTCTGTGGTGGTTCCCCAGTTGTGGGATGCCCTGCCCATGAGGCATGCCTGTCTCCATCATTCATAACTTTCAGGAGGGATTTGAAAACATTCCTGTTTACCCAGGCACTTGATGGCTGGAGAATACTGTTTCTGACATCCCTGAGATCACTGGATGGACAAAGGTTTTTTTTAAAAAAATTGTAACAGTTTTTAGAATGCTTTAATTCTTTCAGATTGTTTTTTTCTCTGCCTTCATTTTAAAATTATGTATCTGGTTGCTGCTCTGGGCTCCTTGGGAAGGAAGGGAAGGATAAAAATTCAAGTATTATTTTTAGTAGTAGTAGTAATAGTAGCAATAGTTGGGTAATATTTATTAGATTTTCTAGCTATATGCTGTAATTATTTTACATGTTGATGTTCTGTCTATAATTTTATTATTATTATCTATTTTACTTATTTGTGTACCTAGAGATATTGTCTGGAAATATCGATTGTTGCTTAGTTGTGTTACTTAAAAATGCAGAATCTATTGCTATGGCAATGATTACCATCATCAGCTGCAACGGTATCAAATGTGAAATTTGCACTGTGTTTTCTAAATACTGTTTTTTTGTTGGGGTGTATATATTCCAACACATAGAATTAAATAAAAGCCATCACTTGACATTGAAGCTATCATGTGATGAAGGAGTGCATGAACCAGCTTCAGGTCTATGAGGAACACTTTTGCACTTGTTTGGCTAAGCCAGCAGGGCTCTAGAAGCGGCAGCTTGTCTGCAGCTAAGCGCTACACAGAGGAGGCCCATTGAAATGATTGGCTCTGAGTTAGCCATGACCATCAATTCCAATGGGTCTACTCTGAGTAGGGCTAACTCTGGCCACAAACCACTGGAAGCTTTGAAACTGCTACAAATCTTCTGTGGCTTGAACTTGCTCCTCACGGCTCTTAGCCCAAGACTAACCCATGCAGTGGCTTCCACGTGTTGCTGTACTACAACTCCCATCATCCTCTGACCATTGTCCATGCTGCTAGGACTGATGGGAGCTGCAGTCCAGAAACAACTGGAGGGCATTGTGTTGGTTATTCTTGCCTTAGCCTGTAAAATTAGTGGTGCGCTTGTTCAATGCAATACGACCAGTTTTCGTTTTAAACGAAAATACGTCCATCACTTCCCATTTCAGTGGCTCCAAATGCTTTCTCACAGTCTCAGCCTGCCCTCTAGACCAGCATCCAATTTTAAACTGGGAGAACAGGAGAAAGCAGACTTCCTTTGCTCTATAGTCAGTAGATCTCTTATCAGCCTGGGTAATCTGAGACAGACTTGCTGAACATTGACTTTGTTACAGTACCTGGAGCAAGTTGCTATATGTTAATGTAAAGCCGTAGAAATTACAGCCCAGGATTTCAGCATCCTAATTTAAACTTCCTCTTCTTTCGGGCTGAACAGAAACCAGAAGCAGAAAGCGAGGGGAGGGGAGGAAGGGGTGGATTGTGATGGGGAAGGGAGAGAAGAGGGAGACCATTCAGTGCATCATTTCAAGAAACCCCTTGTCTGTAGGAAGAAGGAAAAAAGATGGAAAACCTTGAAGTGTTAACAGAGGGCATTAGTATTTTCACTACAGATCTCAGCCATCTTAAGAGTACGGGTCCTCTGCACAATTACCTGGGAGTAAACCCCATGGAGCAAAGTGATGCTTGCTTCAAAGTATTCACACAATAGGATTCTGCTCTAAGAAGTCCTTCTTTCTCCCCAGATTATTTTTGTGGGGCTTTTTAAAAGATAGAATCATAGAACTGTAGACTTGAAAGGATCATCTAGTCCAACCCCCAGCACTGTAGAAATTCCAGCTATAGAATCCTAATGAGAGCATATGCAGAGTGTAAGAAATGCTAAACTGCACTTTCGACCCTCTCATCAGGCAACAGTTTGCAAGACTCAACCCCCTTGCAAGCCCAGCCTGCTCTACAATTCCCTCAAGTTTAAGAACATAAGAAGTCGTCCTACTGGAGAAGGGGAAAGACCTACCAAGTCCAGCATCCTGTTTTCACAGTGGCCAACCAGAAGCCCCAAGGGAAGCCTACAAGCAGGACCCGGGTGCAACAGCATCTCTCGCTACTTCTGAATGCCAGTTGCTGGCATTCATAGGGATATTTCCTCCAGTGGTCATATAGTTATTGATTTGGTTTATGCGTCACTTCCCATGAGGCACCCCAAAGTGATACATTTCTGTTATGTGCAGTGGTACCTCGGGTTACAGACGCCTCAGGTTACAGACTCCGCTAACCCAGAAATAGTACCTTGGGTTAAGAACTTTGCTTCAGGATGAGAACAGAAATCACATGGTGGCAGTGGGAGGCCCCATTAGCTAAAGTGGTACCTCAGGTTAAGAACAGTTTCAGGTTAAGAACGGTCCTCCAGAACGAATTAAGTTCTTAACCCGAGGTACCACTATATAGTTTTCACTCAGGTCTATGTCAGTTAATTTAGGTGGGAAACCCTGGGTTGTTGTTGTTACAATGTTGACAGCCGGCTGAGCTGATTCGAACGTTAAAGATTTCTGTAGAAATTGCAACCTGGTTTTGAGTTCCTCCTCCTGCAGGAGCCAGGAGAGAGAACTTCAGCAACTGCTGCTTCTCCCACCACCAGAAAAGCCACCGGTTAGAACCGTGGAGGAAAATTAGAATGTTAAAGACAAGAGTCCGTTGACAGAATCACAACGCTGACATGTATATAGTTCAAGGGGAAACCACACCATTGGAGTGATGTATGTTGGCAGCTGATAAGTTATTTATCACCAGGTAACAGACTGATCAATTTCACGCCTGGAGGTTTTTCTCTTCACCTGCTTCACACGCACACCCTGCTCTTTCTCTCTGCCCCACCACTAACTCTGAGAGAGAGAGAGAGAGAGAGAGAGAGAGAGGAGAGCACAAAATATTTTTCTAATTAAATAAATGTATGGTACCCACATTAGCAGCAGCCAGCCTTGTGAGCCTGCAACCGGGTGAAGGGGGGTGCGCGCGGGTGTTGCGTTGGGTGGAAAGGAGTCGAGGGAAGCGAGACTGAAATAATGATTTTATTTTTTCATTAAATAGAATTATAGGCAGTTACTCAAAGCAACTGTGGGCCTAATTGAAAGAAAACCATTTCTTCTTAATTTACTTTCACGGTTCCGGATGATAAAAGAGCGTGCTGGCTGGAAAATTAAATAATAATAATAAAAAGAAACACGGCGCAGCTCCAGAAAAGTTTGACATAATGACAGGCAGGCACAGGTGGAGCAAGGCAGGAGGCGATGCACATTCCCTTTTCACTTTAACAAGATGTCGTTAAAACGCCAGATTGGGGGGGGGGCAGAGGACCCAACCTCCCTTGGCCAACCCCAAACTCGCCTCTCTTCCCAGGATTCATGCCAGTATTTCACCAGTAGCGAAACCGGAGGAGAACAGGGCCACATGTAAACCATGTCTTTAAAGAGCTAGGGTGCTGCTTTAAGCAGTCATGAATCCCCCACAAATAATTTTGCAAAATGTAGTTAAGGTTGTCCAACGATGTTAGAAGATCCCTGTCCCCACTGCTCCCAGGGCTACAATTTCCCAAGTTACCTGCTAAACCCCTCTGGGAATTGTAGGTGTGGGAGAAGGGAATAGGGGTTACCTAACCACTCTCAGCACCCTTCACAAATGGCAGCTTTCAGGATTCTTCAGGAGGGAGCCATGATTGTTTGAAGTGGCATGATCCTGCTTCAAATGTATGGCATGGCAGGGCTGCATGTGGCTAAGTCCTTTCACAGAGCAAGGGATGGAAGGATCTGCCAATTTCCACTCTCTCAGTTTCTCATTTCTCCAATCTTAAATTCTGTTCTCCAGAATTCGCAGCCATTTGCAATGTTTTGATTTTTTAAAAAAAAACTCCGCATGAAGATTCATTAGCATTTTGGTGTGATTCTTTTCCTAATAAACTCTTTTTTTTTTTTTTACACAGCTTTGACAAATGTACCCATCTGTGCAATCAATTTCCCTTAGTATAATGCATTTTAGATGTTATTTTCACTAATATCCTCATGTGTGCATTTCTTTGTAAACATAGGTTGAAGAACTGCACTGAAATTTTTTGATAAGTGCATAATTTTAATGCTAGCTGTTTTTTGGTTCATAGATTGTTTCAGAAATTGAAGATAATGATACATTCAGTTTTAAATGCATACTGAAATTCTCCTCTATTCTTACTCAGTGTAGACCCAATGGAATAAATAAACCCAAGTTCATTAACTCCAGTGCGTCTATTCTGAGTAGAGCATGCATTGGCTGCAACCCAAAGCAATTCTTGTGTAAGAAACAAAATTAAGATTATATTACAAGCGGAAGAGATGGGAGAATCTGTCAATTTCAGTCCCCATCCCCCCCAGATCTTGAGTTCAGGTCTCCACATTTTTACATCAGCTTCAGTTTTATTTATTTAAGTCTTTATGAATATTTGTCAGAAATTTAGTTCATAGTTCTTTTAATACACACATTTCTGTATGCAATTTTGCCTAATATACACATTTCACATTGCATCTTTTGTATGTTATTTTCAATAATACTTTAACCTGATGATTACATTTCTTTACACACTATTTGGTTGGGGAACCACATCACAAAATTTGGAGAAGTGCAGATTTTGAAGGATAGCTGTGCTTTCAGTTCACGTACAATTTCAGGAAGTGCAAAAATAGGTAGATTTGTCTTTAAATGTCCACTAAATGACCGGTGACATTTTGGGGGATCATCTGCAGATCACTGACATGTTACTAGGGATGTCTGTGGAATTTAATATCTGTGAATTCCAAAGCACACAGACATAATCTGTTCTTCCCAGGCCAATGAGCAGATTGGAAGGCAATGGTTGTTCAGATTTTGCATGTCTCCGAACTGTTAGATACAGTGGTGCCCTGCAAGACGAATGCCTCGCAAGACGGAAAACCCGCTAGACGAAAGGGTTTTCCGTTTTTGAGTTGCTTCGCAGGACGAATTTCCCTATGGGCTTGCTTCGCAAGACGAAAATGTCTTGCGAGTCTTGAGATTTCCCCCCCGCTTCCCCCCCCCCATTTTCTAAGCCGCTAAGCCACTAATAGCCTTTTAGCAGCTAAGCCGCTAAGCCGCTAAGCCTTTAATAGCCGCTAAACCGCTAATAGCGCTAATCCGCTAAGCCGCTAATAGGGTTGCTTTGCAAGACGAAAAAACCGCTAGATGAAGACACTCGTGGAACAGATTAATTTCGTCTTGCAAGGCACCACTGTATAGTCTGAAACTCAAAAAGAAGGATCGAAATGGGTTGGAGCCTCCATACATTAAGAAAAAAGATGCTATGAAAAATCAAGGCAAATTTTTTTTGATAAAATCAATATAGAATGAAGTATACAGTTTTTGTGTGCAGATTTCTCTTTAAAAAAATCAGGAGGTCAATGTTGAAATGGATTTATGGACAAACATGTACACAATTGGAATAAATGGATCTGACCATCCCTAGCTGCCACTAGATTTTGCCCGGAGTGAGCTTTGGAGTCAAAGTTGAACCAAACATCAATAAATAGAAATCTGAAAATAGTGTACAGAGGCAAGCAGTATTTCTCAGGATGCAGGTATGCTTTGTCTAAGGTAGGGCTCAGCGTTCTCTCAGAATACTTTCAGCTGCAATCTTGGGGTGCTAGGTGAAAAGGGACTCTCCTACAATGGGGGCGCACTCCAGTGAGAGTTATTGGGGAGAAAACACTTTGCAGTGTGATGGGACTTTAACTGCAATGCTGCTCCAGGGGATTCTGGGAACAGCGGCTGCAAAATGGTGGCCATCAGAGGGAGCCTACTAACTGCACTGACAAACAATGTTTTCCAGAGCATTTAAAGTATCATTGAATCCAGCGACTGAGTATATGCCCACGCTTCCCAGGCGGGGGGTGCTCCGGGGGGGTGCAGGATGCGGAGGATGCCAGGGCGGAGCAACCCACCCACAGGGGTGGAGTGGGCCGCCGATGGCACACATTTGGCACGCCGCCCACCTGCAACTCCCAAGCCTCCCTCAAGCTGTCAAAACAAAGGGGGAAGAGGGGAATACCACCAGCAAAGCAGCGTGGCTGCCCCTTCCCCTGATGGCTTGGGGTAGGCTTGGGAGTCGCGGGCAGGCGGCGTGCCAAATGTCACTCCCTTCAGTGAAGACACCCGGGGCGGTCCGCCCCCACCACATGCCACTTCCTCCGCCTCTGATTGAATCACAGAATTGTAGAGTTGGAAGGGGCACCAGGCATCAACTAGTCCATCTAGATGCTGTTTGTGCCCTCCAGATGGGGCTGATGGAAGTTGTCATCCACAGATAGATGGGAATTGATGGATTGAAGGTTCCCCATTCCTGCTGCAACATTTCTCCAATGAAAATAGGGACATCTTATTTAATAATAATAATAATAATAATAATAATAATAATAATTATTATTTTACTATTTATACCCTGCACAACGGACTGTGTTGCCACTGCCACTCTGGGTGGCTTCTAACATACAGTGGTACCTCAGGTTACAGACGCTTTAGGTTACATACGCTTCAGGTTACAGACTCTGCTAACCCGGAAGTAGTACCTCGGGTTAAGAACTTTACTTCAGGATGAGAACAGAAATCGCACGGCGGCGGCACGGCGGCAGCGGGAGGCTCCATTAGCTAAAGTGGTACCTCAGGTTAAGAACAGTTTCAGGTTAAGAATGGACCTCCAGAACAAATTAAGTTCTTAACCTGAGGTACCACTGTATATAAAAAAAGGATTATATATTAAAACAAAACTTCCCTATACAAGGCTGCTTTCAATTGTCTTCCAAAGGTTGTACAGTGGTACCTCGGGGTACAGGCGCTTCGGGTTACAAACTCCATTAACCAAGAAGTGGTTGCTCCAGGTTAAGAACTTTGCTCCAGGATAAGAGTGGAAATTGCACACCAGAAGCGCAGTGGCAACAGGAGGCCCCATTAGCAAAAGCACACCTCAGGTTAAGAACCGTTTCAGGTTAAGAACAGACCTCTGGAACGAATTAAGTTCTTAACCCGAGGTACCACTGTATAGTTACTTATCTCCTTGGCTTTGGGGGGCGGGTCACATAACTCCATTCTGTCCAACGAAAATAGAGATGTCCTACCATACCCTCCAACATTTCTCCGATGAAAATAGGGACGGCCTAAGGAAAAGTGGGACCTTCCGGGATCAAATCAGAAACTGAGATGGCGTCTGTGAATCCGGGACTGTCCATGGAAAACAGGGACACTTGGAGGGTCTGCTGCTCTAGGAACATAGGAAACTACCATCTACAGAGTGAGAGGTTTGAGCCAATCTAGATCAGTCTTGTCTGCTTATTGTTTAAAACCTCTGGAAGGCATCATGCCTACCATCCAATCCACATTCTGCAAGCTCCCTATCTTTAGGAAATACTTTTCAACATGGGCATGTTTACACCCACACCAACATAGAGGATTCTGGGGCACCCATCAGAAGGGACTAATGGGAGTTGTAGTCCAAGACAGCTGGTGGGCACCAGGTTGGAGAAGATTGTTCGCCGTGAATCAGCTCATAGAACGTGGAGGGATCGCATTTCGAGCAGGAGAGACAGAAAGGAGAGAAAGCCCAATTTTGGCAGAGGAGAGAGAGAGAAGGAAGAAGTTTATAGGAGGATTGGGGTGGGGGGGGGGAGAGCAGGAGACATGGTAAGTTAAGCAAATTTCCAGTTCTTTCCCCAAGAATTTGCTTCAAAGGCTCTTTCTGCCCTCAGCAAACGTTGGCTGTCAGAGCCCGTCTCCACTCTTAGGCCAGAACAAAACCAACCCTGTGTTCCTGTCCCAGTGGCCAAGGTGAATGGAGGGTCACTGCCAAGCCGCTACGGTGCTCTCCACCTGAGGCACTCTCTGTGCGTGCAGAAGAGCAGGCTGCCTGGCACGGGGCCACCATGGATGGCTGTCTTGGGCCCCCTCTGTGCTGCTGATTGTAGCTGCAGATCAAGGATAATCTCACCTCTCTTTGGAAAGGCTTCCTTTAACTCCTCCTGCAGTCAGCTGCATGCGTCAAGCTCCCTTGCAGAGGTGCGGGTGCATTGACACAAACGCACACACACCACAATGGTGTAACTATATCTCCACTGCCAACCAGGTGATGGATCACACACACACACACACACACACACACACCTGTCCTTAAATTAGGCCCCAGTGAAAGGGCTTTCAGCACCAGGGAAGGCCAAATTATTTTTACCCTTAGCCTAACCTCATTCATCCCCTGCACAACATGGAGGAGATATGCTCAGGCTTATCAGCACTACAACAAACCTATTGTCTGGGCAGGGCAGGAGGGTTTTTTTTTAAAAAAAAAAAGGACAATGAGATGCATTGTTGATGCTTCATTGCCAAAACGTTTTCATAAAGGATGCCCAGCCCAGGTTTGAGGGAGGGCATCTGGGCATCTGCAAAATCTCCATTTTCCATCTCCAGTATTGCTCATCTCCTATGACTCCCTGTAGTTTCATGCCATGCCCTTGAATAAATAGATAACAACTGTCATTTCCTGTTATCAGCTGATAGATGCAACTGTCAAGTCCCATTATCAAAAGTAATTCAGGCACAGAACCCAATATATTCTCTTGAGAATCTCAGCATTCAACTGTTGGTTTTCTTCACAAGTTTCTAGCCCTTATGGAGGCAGATATGGTTGCATGATGGAAGATTCAGAACAGACCACGGGAAGAACATCTTTACATTGTTTAGTTGTTTAGTTGTGTCCGACTCTTCATGACCCCATGGACCAGAGCACGCCAGGCACTCCTGTCTTCCACTGCCTCCCGCAGTTTGGTCAAACTCATGCTGGTAGCTTTGAGAACACTGTCCAACCATCTCATCCTCTGTCGTCCCCTTCTCCTTGTGCCCTCAATCTTTCCCAACATCAGGGTCTTTTCCAGGGAGTCTTTACATAGTGCATAGATAAAACTATAGGATTTGCTCTAACAAGAGGTAAGGATGGCCGCCAACTTTGATTGGACCAGATCAGTGTTTCCCAAACTTGGGTCCCCAGTTGTTTTTAGACTACAACTCCCATCATCCCTAGCTAGCAAAGCCAGTGGTGGAAGATGATGGGAATTGTAGTCCAAAGATAGCTGGAGACCTAAGTTTTGGGAAGACTGGACCTATAAGCCTGATCGAGGAGGACCCTTCTTATGCTCTTATGGCTGTGTTTGTGTCTCATGAATGGAGCCCATTTAAACAGCTGTTCATTTAGAACCATGAGGACTGGAAACGTACTTTATCCTAGAGGGGGGTCTGCAGCTCAGAAGTAGAGTAGCTTCCTTTGTAGCAGAAAGGGCTTGTTTGGGGAGAGCAGAGCTGGTGTTTGATTGGAAGGGGCCCTGGGCTGTGCTTGCTAGAGGGCAGGACAGCTGGGTGGGCAGTGGCTGGCACCAGAGTGGTTCAGCACCAGTGGGGTCAAGCAGCAGCAAGCAGCCCAGACCTCTGAAAACACCAGGCGAGGTAGCTGCAGTGTTTGCCACCTTAATTTCCCAAGAATGCCTCTGAATGTAAGAAGAGCCCTGCTGGAGCAAACCAAGGACCGATACCACTTGCTGGAAACTGCAAGAGAGAAGAGGGCTGTTGGAGTAGGCTTGTGAAGATGTATAAGACTGAATCAGATAAGTGCTGGAGATGCAATGAGGTCGAGGGTACATTCTTTCATATGTGGTGGATCTGTAAAAGGGTAAAAAAGCACTGGGAAATAAATTATAATGAATTGAAAAAAAAAATGTTTAAAAGCACTTTTCTTAAAAACAACAACCCCAAAACAGAGTCCTTTTTGTTGGGAATAATTCAGATGGAAATTCCCAGGTGTCAAAAAAAGGTTATTTATGTATGCCATGACGGTGGCCTGTGTTTTTTTAGCCCCCAAATGGAAAACGAGCGAGGTCCCAACCAAAGGAGAATGGCAACTTAAACTGATAGAATATGTGCAGCTTGTGGATCTAATTTATAGAATAAGAGAACAAGAAGAACATTCGTTTAAAGAAGATTGGAAAATGTTTATTGAATATATGGGGGGGATTGGCAGCATTAAGATAAATGCAACAGTGTGAATAAGTTTTGAAGGAAGTAATAATGGAATACGGAATGGTTTAGTTTATATAAAATATGCAGGGATTTATGCTGTGCAAAATGAACCGTGGAAAGAGAAGAAAGGAAGTCATTGATATTTTAAGGTTGTTTAAATGAATATTCTAAATTGTGAAAGAGAAAATTTAATAAAAATTATATAAAAGAAGAAGAGAGAAGAGGGCTATTGTACTCAGGTCTTGCTGGTGGGCTTCTCAGGGGCATGTGAGAAGAGGGTGTCCTGGACAAGGAGGGCCACTGGCCTGATCCAGCACCCAAACCCATCTTACTTTCTTAATTGGTTTCTTGATGTAAAAACTCCACAAAGCTTTGTTGCAGAGCATTTTCTGCAGAGTAACTTTCTGTCAAGCTCCTTCCATGTAGTGATGGCCACTGACTTGGGTGGCTTTAAAAGAGGACTGGGCAAATTCATGGAGGAGAAGTCCATCAATGGCTGCTAGCCACCATGGCTATGCTGTACGCTGACAGCTGGAGGCAATAATACTGGGAATAGCAGGTATGGAAAGCGGAGTGGTAGAGCTTCTCCTTTGTATGCAGAAGGTCCCAGGTTCAGTCTCAAACATCTCCAGGTAGGGAGAGCCAGGAGAACCACTGCCTGTTCATAATACTGAGCTAGATGGATGTCATGTCAGGCAGCTTCCTACATTTGCTTGGCCACTATGAGAACTAGGTGCTGGACTAGATGGGCCTCTTCTGGCTTGACCCAGCAGGGCTCTTCTTACTTAAAAATCTGTGGACACTTGGACACTGCATAGCGGAGCAACAGAAGGACTGGGAAAAGAGGTGGCTTTAATTCTTAACTGTTTTCCTTTACAAATGCAAATGTAATGATGCAAATTCAGCTCACTAGTTTGCATACATTATGCAGGTTGCAGAGTCCAACTTTTGGGAAACTCCACCCCCCCCGGGCTACGTAGAGCCCTCAAGGGGTGTGCACTTTCTGATATACCCCTGACCCTTTTCAAATTCCTTTTAAGATACCTTCTCATTAGTCAACGCCAGAGCCAGCCCAGCTCCTAAGTGCAGCTGCTCTCAGCAAGATGCAGAGGTTCCAGCAGCAAGCTGAAAAAGTTACAGTCACCCGACAACATCTTTTGCCCGCCTGCTGTTTGAGCAGCCAACAAAAGCTGGGGCTCGCCTTTGAATACAGCATTGTCCCTGGTTTAGCAAGGGAGGGAAACTTTTGAAAGCATGGAGCTAGAGCATGGGTAGGCAAACTAAGGCCTGGGGGCTGGATCTGGCCCAATTGTCTTCTCAATCCAGCCCGCGGACGGTCTGGGAATCAGCATGCTTTTACATGAGTAGCATGTGTCCTTTTATTTAAAATGCATCTCTGGGTTATTTGTGGGGCCTGCCTGGTGTTTTTACATGAGTAGAATGTGTGCTTTTATTTAAAACGCATCTCTGGGTTATTTGTGGGGCATAGGAATAAGTTCATTTCCCCCCCTCCAAAATATAGTCCAGCCCCCCACAAGGTCTCAGGGACAGTGGTGCCATCGGTAATGGCGGACTCCCTCTGATCCGGAGGGACTAGCTCCGCGGAAAACGGGTCTTCCCGCTACGGCGAAGTGGGGACCCTTTGAAAAATCACAGGCGGATGAAGCCTGTGACCATGGGACTCGGCGGGCACCTTTCGCGCCCCCCCAACTCGTAAAGGAACCCAGTTACGGGCTCCGGAGCGAAGAGGGGCAAGTGGTGCAGTGCTGAGAGTCAACTGCTTCTTCCGTGGAGCGAAGCCGCACAGCCGTTGCCGGAGAGCGCTGCCTTTTTCCTGGGACAATTTGGCTTTTAAAACAATTACCCGTGAGTAGTTTAATTTCGGACAATTGGACTTTAAATAATGATCTGCGAGTAGAAAGGAAAATTGGACTAAGAAATTCTTCTCAATTTGGCACTGAAACGGGAAGGTCTAAACAGGAAGTCAGCCTTCCGTTTCTTGTAGATAGATTAAAGCAAAGACATGGCAAACTAGAGTTCAGAAAATCGTTTGTAAAGGATTAACTTTCATCATTTAAAGTTGTTGAACCCCCTTCGGAAGCAGGAGAAGAGGGGGGATTTTTTCCGGACTGTTTAAACCTGCAGAAGAGAGTGTAAAGAAAAGTAATTTTCCACCGTCTTGAACCTGGGAGCCGGGTGTCAGGACTGACGTTCTTTGGGAAGCTCATTGACCATAGACAAACGTCTTTGACAGATAGTTAAAAGAAGAGAAACATAGTGATTCCATTGTTCTCCTTCGCATTTTAAAGGAACAAATATTGACAAAATATCTGAAAAGGAAACTTTGTTGTTAAATCTGCCTTTAAAAGAAAAGAACAAATAGAAGTTCTTCCCCTAGAGGGAGCCTGTGAAACTGTTACTAAATCTGAATCGGGGAGCTCTGCAGCTGCAACAGATTACGATCGTGGGAACAGACTTCTGACCTTGCAGAACAATGTATCCAGAAGCTCTGGTGTGTGCTTTCTGCAAAACAAGTGCCCTATTGGAACAGCTACATGAGAAGACGGACTTGATGACTGTTGCGATCAGAAATTTTGGACAGGTAGTGGGTAACTATATAGAGCCCACCCAGGAATCAAATCAGGAGTGTGCTCTGACAGATCAGATGAGGGAAGAGGATGTTGCTGAACCTCGGGTGCCAGAGATGGAGGGAGTTGTGGCCCAGCAGGAACATGAGTTGTTGGATCTGATAAATGAACTTGGAAAAAGCCAGATTTGGAGAGATAGAGTTTTGCTTGGTTTGGAAATGGGGGGTTGGATAGACCCCCCTATGCAGGGATGTTTTGACTTTCCAAGTCTGGCAATGGGCCGCAAGATGTTTTGGGTTGTGAGGGCTCTTAATTCTGGAGGGACTTTGAAACATGTTTTTAAATACCACATGGAGTTTAGTGTGGACTATGGAAAAGGGGCTGATTTGTCGAGAAGGGTCAAAAACACTGTCAAGTTGGAGTTCCCACGAGTGAAAGGAGCAGGAGACAAAGTAAAGTACAGGTATAAATATGAAGAGGAGCCGCGGAAGGGACATGGAAGAGACTTAAGGGCCTCGGACATAAGATTACCAGGTTAATGCGCCAGATTGATGGGATACAAAGGACTGACAAAACCCGGGACCAGGAGGAAGAGACGCTGGATGAAGATTGGAAGAAAATTTGAATTTTTTTTTTATTAGGATTGCTTTATAAAATTGATGAATGTTAGAAAAATGTTGGAACGAAATTATTTGACTTTAGCAAAAATGTTAAAAGAATTATGTAAGAATATGTTATGGTTATGAGAAATTGGTATAAATAAGATGTAAGTTTTAAGTTTTAGGGTTTTTTATAGTAAGATAAGGTTAAAATAGACTAAGGTAATGTTATGACAGAATATTATGAAAAATGGAAAGGATTTGCTGTGATAATAACAACTAGGATACAAAAAAAGGGAGGAGTGAGGAGGTCAATGAAAGAAGGCAATGACAGTTAAGGATTTGAGAATATTGGATCTGTTTTTAAATTTTTGTGGCTTATTTTTGTTTTTTGATTGTGTTCTGTTACGTGTTTTGTTGTTATTTTTTGATTTTGATTTTTATCAATTTGTATTGTTTGATTGTGGTTTGTTTTTCTTTTCTTTTTTCTCTTTCTTTTTCTTTTTTGTTTTTTCTGTAATTTAAAAATTCTTAATAAATATCATTTAAAAAAAAAAAACAAGGTCTCAGGGACAGTGGACTGACCCCCTGCTGAAAACGTTTGTTGACCCCTGAGCAAGAGCAACAGGAGTGCAGGGAATTTTGGAGTCCATAATTTAATCCCTGTAGCCAAAACCTTTTTGAATGCTGGAAAGAAGGGGGAAAAAATGTCCAGAAGTGCTACTTTTCTTAGATACGTTTATTAGGGGGGGAATTACATCTTGTCCTGAGAAAAGTGACTGCCTAAAGTACGATGTTGAAAACATCAAACAACACCCTGGAGTTGTGATCAGTGCTGACAGTGCTCCAAAATCCTGATGTGTTGAACCAAGAGAGGGATGGGGAACCTTTCACCCTCCAGAAGTTGGTGAGGACACAACACCCATCAGCCCCAGTCAGCATGGGCCAATGGTGAGGGATTATGGGAAATGTAGTCCAACAGCATTGGGAGAGCTGCAATCTGCTAATGCCATTCAATCATGCTCCATTCCCATATTGCTGGTAGGGAAACTCATGCTTGGGAGGCTGAATGTTATCATCTGGGTCTCTCTATCTTGGACCCCAGTAATGCTACTTGCTTGCATGGATGGAGGATAGAACCAAGGGATTCAAATTACAAGAAATGAGATTCCAACTAATCATTAGGAAAAACCTTCTGAATGTAAGAGCTGTTTGACAGTGGAATGGACTCCCTTGGAAGGTGGTGGATTCCCCTTCCTTGGAGGTTTATAAACAGAGGTCGGATGGCTATCTGTCAGGGATTTTCAAGCTGTGATTTCTGCAATGCAGGCGGTTGCACTAGATTACCTTTGGGGTTCCTTCCAACTCTTTGTTGTTGTTGTTTAGTCATCTAGTCTTGTTCGACTCTTCAAATAAGTGCATCCGTTGGGAAAGGGCTGTAGCTGAGTATTTTGTATGTTGAAATCCCTGGCACCTCCAGGTGGGGTTGGGAGAGACTCCCATCTCAAACTCTGGAGAGGTGCTGCCATAGAATACTGAGTGAGATGGATCAATGGTCTGACTAACTAATTTAGCCTGGACCAATCCATTGATTCCATCTTAGCAGTCAATAGCCTTGGATAACTGTGAGCTAGTGCAGCAGTTGTTGTTGTTTAGTCGTTTAGTCGTGTCCGACTCTTCGTGACCCCATGGACCAGAGCACGCCAGGCACTCCTGTCTTCCACTGCCTCCTGCAGTTTGGTCAGACTCATGTTGGTAGCTTCAAGAACACTGTCTAACCATCTCGTCCTCTGTCGTCCCCTTCTCCTTGCACCCTCCATCTTTCCCAATATCAGGGTCTTTTCCAGGGAGTCTTCTCTTCTCATGAGGTGGCCAGAGTGCTGGAGCCTTAGCTTCAGGATCTGTCCTTCCAGCGAGCACTCAGGGCTGATTTCCTTCAGAATGGATAGGTTTGATCTTCTTGCAGTCCATGGGACCGTTAGTTCTTCAAGCTCAGTATTGTCTGCAATGAGTGGCAGTGGCTGTCCAGGTTTCTGAAGACAGGAGTGCCTCCCAGCCTAGCCCTACTTGAAGATGCCTGGGATTGAACTTGGGACCTTCTGCATGCAAAGCAGATGCTCTGCCACTGAATTATCCCTTCCCTGGATTTATAATTCCTCATTCTCTCGCATATCAATTTCCTTTTACTATAGGTAGCTCAATGCCACCACTTGAGAACCCAAAGATACAGATACTTTTTTAAAAAAATGGATTTGGGGAAACTTCCTGAAGAAATAAAAGATAGTTTCTCCACTTTTCATTCCAGATTTCCTCCCACACACCCTTGGTCTTGTTATGTTACTTTGGTGATAAGTTGTCGTAATAACCCAAAGATAGGTCATCGCTCACCATTGTGGAAATTCATGAAGAGCATAAATCTGAAATGAGGGCCATTTGTTTGGTTTGGAGAATCCAACCTCTCATACGCTGGACAGATTCATTTCCCTTATCCCTGTCAGTTAATCATTCACCAAGTTCACATAAATCAAGGGAAGGCCTCTGCTCAGCTTGCCCGGGGAAGTAACGCCATGCTAGGAGATTCAGACCTCTTCCCAGCTGCCTACAGAGGCAGTCAAGGTGATCTGCTTATCTGAGGTATTTGCATTCAGGAGGAGAAAAGTAGAAGAGACTGCAAAATGCCCTTATGCCCTACAGCAGGGATGGGGGATCTTTGGCCCTCCAGATGTTGCTGGACTCGATCTCTTGCCTCAATCTTAAACATGTCTACTCATAAGACACTCTTGTTTAGTTCAGTGGGTCTCACTCCCAAGTAAGTGTACATTTAGCAGGGGTAGGGGGCCTGTGGCCCTCCAGATATTGGTGAACTACAACTCCCATAGTCCACATTTTCAGGAGTTGATGGGAGTTGGTTGTTTGCCAACACTTGGATGAACCATGCAGCCTAAATGAATGAAGCAGCCTAAATGACTGAAGGACAGCAGCCTAAATGAATGAAGCAAATACTATTCCAGTTAAAATATGAAGCAAACAAAATAGGTTCTGATCTTCATTTTCTAATTAAAAAGTATTTGCATCACTCAGGTGGCCTCTTGCCTTGTGGTAAAAGGTGAGGTATCAATCCAATAAATATCAAATGGACCTTGGGTGTGGGGGGGAATACATACTCTGTCTCAAGGCAAATCTAAAAAAATGTAGTATACACACTGACAACTGGGAAAGTTGGAGAACAGCCTTTACCAAAGGTGTCATGGGCTTTGAAGACGCTCAAACTCAGGATGCAAGGGAGAAACGTGCTAAGTGGAAGGCACGCTTGGCAAATCCACACCGTGATCAACTACGGCCCGGAAACCAATGTCCCCACTCTGGAAGGATGTATGGATCCAGAATTGGCCTCCACAGTCACCTACGGACTCACTGTTAAAACTGTGTTTATGGAAGACAATCTTACTCGGCTATAAGTGATCGCCGAAGAGGACACACTCCAAGTGCAGAATCAGTCATGGGTGCTGACAGGACACTTGTGGCCCTCAGATTTTAATAAGCGCCCTGTTGGATGAAGCCAAGTGCCCATCTAGTCCACCATCCTGTTCTCACAAGTGGTCAACTAGGTGCCTCTGGGGAACCTACATGCAGGACCTGACTGCAACAACCCACTCCCCGCTTGTGATTCCCAGTGACCATCATTCAGAGGAATACTGCCTTCGACAGTGGAGACAGAGCATAGCCATTGCGGCTCGTGATGACCTGATCCTCTATGCATTTTTATAATCCTCTTTTAAAGACATCCAAGCTGTTGGCCGTCGCTACCTCTTGTAGGTGCAACTTCCACTGTTTTCACTAAGCACTGTGTGAAGTAGTACTTTCTTTTGTCTGTCCCCGATTCTTCCAATATTCAACTTCATTGGCTGTTATTGAGTTCTGGTATTATGAGACAAGGAGAAAAACTTCCCCTTGATGCTTTGTCTCTCTTGGCAAGCCAAGCTGATCTCGTTTTCAGTTTGCTTCGCCAACATCTAATGCAAAATTTAAGAGTGAACCACAGCAGACCTGGAGTTCGGGCTACCATGATCGTCTTCCTCCCGCTTCAAGGCTTCGTCAATTAGGTTTGTTATGGGAAAGTCCACTTCAAGTCAAAATATGGGGCAGCTTTATTAGGAGCGAGTACCTGGGGTTAGAGTTTTGGCTGCATCATTCTTCATTTCCCTGAAGGCTTGGTGTGGATTTTCACAGAGTGCCAGAGGTCTGGTGAGCGTCATGCGCATTGTCTCTCTTAAGCAGCAAAGCATTCATTCCACCCAGAAAGATGGGGGGGGGGAGAGAAACTCTGTGTCTATTTGGGCTATGTTTCAGTTATGACTCTGATATGAAAACTAAGACTATGTCAAACTTCTGCTTGGGAAACTCATGGGTAATTATACCTCCCTGATACAATCTCAGGCCTGTGTTATTGTGGCTTCTGTGGATCTCTGATCTCATCGTTCTCACAACTCTCCTGGGGCACACTTTGGAGCTCTTTCAGAAACTTTCGGTGTTGAAGTAGAGAGCATTTCTATGACTATCATTTCTATGACTAGGAAAGGGACCCAGGTCCTGATCCTCTCTACAAGTTGTAACACAGAGCTTATGAACCACTGGACCAAAGCGCTGGGTGGCTTTGCTGAAGGAGAAAGCATGTTTCTGACAGTTGTCTTAGACTAATAGTATCATAGAATTGGAAGGGATCCTGAGGCCCATCTAGTCCAGCCCCCTGAAAAGCAGGAATCTCATCTAAAGCATCCATGACAGATGACCATCCAACCTCTGCTTAGAAACCTCCAAGGGAAGAGAGTTTGCCACCTTCTGAGGGAGTCCATTCCACTGTTGAACAGCTCTTACTGTCAGAAAGTTCTTCTTAATGTTTTGTTGGAATCTCCTTGTAGTTTAAATCCATTGGTTCGGCTCCTACCCTACGGAGCCAGAGTAAAGCAGCTTGCTCCATTTTCCTTGTGACAGCCCTTTATAGATATTTGAAGATGGCTATAATATCTCCTCTTAGTCTCCTCTACTTCAGGTTAAACATATCCAACTCCCTCAAACCATTCCTCATAAGGCTCGGTTTCCAGAACCTTGATCATCTTGGTCACCTTCCTTTGCTCGTGTTCCAACTTGTCAATATCCTTCTTCAACCCATGGCCTGGGAATGAATGTTAAGCTTCTGACCCACTGGCCCAGAGCAGTGGGTGGCCTTGTTGGAGGAGAGAGCATTCCAACAGATGGCCAATCCTAGAACACAGCCTGGTTCTTTGGCATTGACTATCACAAGATGAGTTGTTGGGCATTAACATGGATTGCTTTAAAAGGGTCTTAGGCAGAATCATGGAATATGGGGGTTTCAATGGCTAATAGTCAATGGCGAACTATCTCCAGGATGAGAGCCAGCGTGCTTCTGATTACCTGGGATTCTTTATCTGTGATTCCTGCATTGTAAGGGGTTGGACTAGATGACGCTTGGGTACCTCCCAACAGTACAGTTCTATGATTCTGTACACAACTAATATGGTCCAGCACATTCTTTTTGTAAAGCCATTTCAGTTGGTTTCCCCCCTTCTTTAAAAAAACAATAAAGTGGTAAGTTAATTTCATGAAATAAATAAATGTGTACATTCACACACAAAAGCAAGCACCATGTTTCTGGTGTTCCCAACAAAATGCAAGCCAACAACAACAACAACAACAACAACAACAACAACAACAACAATATCCTGTACATATCAGTGTGTGTTTGATGGATTGATAAAATTGCTGGTGTGTGTGTGTGTTCCTAGTGAGAGCAGGTAGGGAGCAGAGCAGCTGTGCAGATTTATCACACCCCTGTGACCAAAGGGGTTCCAATTCCCAGGCACACAATCACACTTCAGCTGCAGTGAGGCCTGTCACCACTTGGATCATCGCAGCTTAAGCTGACCCATAAAAATCAGGGTGTAAGGTTCTTCTAACCAGACCAATTCAACCCCCTGCCCCGGGCTTGCTTTGCTCTCATCATGACCATTTTAATTTCACTATGCAGGGTGGGGGTTTTTCTCTCTGCAATAGTTCTCACAACTCTAGGTAGCTCATTACTGAGTTTTGCAGTGGGTATTTCTAGAGAGCTGATGGGTCTCCGTCTCCGACAGAGGCATCATGTTCTTAAAGAACATTCCTTAAGGGATCCTTTAAAGCCTTCCCTAATTTTTAGCTTTAGCCATCTTGCAAATATTCAGACGAGGGATGGGCATTGTCAGATCCATCGTGAACTCATTTCGACTGGGCTTTTGGGCAGGAGGGGTTGGGGGGAGGGTGGCAATGTTTTGTGGCTTTTCTCAGGGCCATGCAAGAGTGAGGTTGAAGAGCCGAATGTATTCCGAGCAACAGACGTCTTGATTGATTTATGCGCCCAGCTCTCGAGCAGAAACGATATAAGCAAGCAATAAATCACGGGCTTTGCAGAAGGCAAAACGATTGCCCGAGACTTGTTTAAGCAAAGCACTCAAAGGATTTTTTTTTAAAGAAAAAAAACTTAGAAAGAGAGAGGCGGAAAGTGTCTATTTTGAATTAACTAGAAATGGGCAACCCTCCCCACCATACCTATTTCTCTGATTCATAATTGATCGGTGGCGTGGGATGTGGGGGGGGGGAATGATTAATTCAGCCCTTGTTTAGACTAAAACTATGTCTGGGCTGCAGTACTTTAAATGAGGACCGCTATCACTGGCATGCTCCTATGCATACACCAAGAGGAAATATAATAAAGTTAAGAATCCCCACACATAGACATCCAGCATGTTAGAGGAAGAGGCTTGAACCCTTCTTCCTATACATCCTAGTTTTCCTTGTGCAGAAGATTCAGCACTGAACACCTTAACTTGCTCTCTGAAGTGCTACTGTCCAAGTCTGCCACCTCAGTGAGAAGCAGGCTGCAGAAGTTTCCCACTGGATGTCTGAGCATTAATCTGTTTGCTAGTTTCTGGATCAGTTAACAACTTGGAATGCTTCTCTAAGCATCCAACAGTATCCTTTGAGACTGGGATATAAATTTAAATAAACAAATACCGTACTTTTCCGTGTATAAGACGCCCCCTATTTTGGGGGACTGAAATTTCAGAAAATGGGGGGAAATGGCAAAAAGTTGATGAGCTTTTTTTAAGGGGGGGGGGAATACCAAAAATCGCTCACCCGAACATGTTGCAAAATCCACTCCCATCTGTACCCTCGCCAGCAGAAGCTGCCAATTGCCTGCCCAATTGCCCATGCATAAAACAACCCCCACTTTTTAGCATGATTTTTAAGGGGGGGCTAGTCTTATACATGGAAAAGTACGGTAAGTAGCATCACCAGCTACTTGAAAGGACTTTAGAGTACACCCTGCACATTAATATTTATTTAAAACATTTATAAACTGCTTAATATATCACTGCTTAATTCAATGAGTAATTACTCCCAAATATGTGTGCTTAAGATGGAGTTTCCATTTTGCACAGATTAGTGTAGGTGCTTCTGCTCCTCTTTTTTGTCCAAAGAAGCTTATGCTATGTGTATATTAAATATTTTGTAAAAGCACAATTAAAATGCATGAAGCCACCAAGAGATAGAAGTCCAAAAAATTATCATAAAGATAAATATCACAGTGTCTGGAACAGGTCCAGTGGCTCCCGAACTTTTCCCCGCATGAACTGCTTGAAAATTTCTGAGGATCTTGGTGGACCACGTAATGACCCCCACCCCTCTGCCCTCCGTACAAAGGCAACATTCAAATACATTGCTCTCCTCACTTTTGCATCTGGCCCTCTTCAGCACTGGCATGTGGCCCCCAGAAAGTTGCTCAGAATGGCATGAGGCTCTCAGCGTGAAAAAGGTTCCCTTCCTCTGATCTTGTTTCCCAGAGTGTCACAGCAGATGCCTCTGGAAAGCTCCAAAGAAGATGCATGGAGTAACCCCCTCCTACTTCTGCTGCAGGGCAGCTGGTGTTCAGAGGAATGCAGTCTCCAATTATTTCAGACAATAGTGCATGCGCAGCGGTCTGAAGAAAGTCCAGAAATTAAAACAAAACAGAAAAACTGGCAAAATGCTGACACATTGATGCAACTGTGGATGCTTGATAAGATGATTCAGAAGCCATAATTCAACAGAAACATTAAGATGGGGTTGTTGGTTAAGGATCCATCATCCTTCTTGTGAATTTCTAAGGGGATCTTGGCTGCATCTGTGGAAACATTGTGTCCAGAGTTCAAGAAATAATGGTAGTGCTCTGTTCTGTTTTGGGCTGACACCCTGTGGAGTCCTGTGTCCAGTTCTGTGCAGTTTAAGATGGATATTGAGGTGCTAGAACATATCAGCAAAGACCTGGAGCCCAGGTGTGATTATGAAAAGTTGAAGGAGTTTGGGTATGTTTAGTCTGGAGAAGAGAAAATTAAGAGATGGTAGGATCATCATTTTCAGATATTCAGTGGGCTGTTTTACAGAAGATGGAATAAATCTTTTGGACATAGGAAGCTGCCTGATACCATATTTGACCATTGGTTCATCTAGTTCAGTATTGTCTACTCTGGCTGGCAGTAGCTCTCCAGGGTTTCAGGTAAGGGTCTTTTCCAGCCTTACCTGGAGATGTTGGGGGTCGAAGCAGAGGCCTTCTGCATGCAAGGAAGATTCTCTACCAATGAACTATGGCCCTTCCCAATAGACCCTATGCATGTCCCGTGTCTATGAAATACTGAATTTCTGCTGGATGGGTTTGCATTCTTTGGTTGGACAATAACAATGCAATATTCAGGAGAATTGAGAATTTCAAGAATGGTGTTTTGGTTCACATATTGTTTCAGGAAGTGAAAAATTGAGAAGTAAGCTAAATGAAATAAATGAATTCATCCCACCATCCCAAATGGGAGACCACAGAAAATTGAAGGAATGGAATGGGGGAAGATTGCTCTCCTCTGGGTCTGATCCAGAAGGCGATGCTTATGTTCCAACTTCTCCAGATCCTTCCTTTTGCTGAGGCCTCTTTGTGAAGCTCTCCTGTGGTATGGTAGCTGTGACTTCTTAGCTTATATTGTCTCCTGCCTTCAGGTATATGCTTAAGTCCAAGATAAACACTTCCTCAGCCCCCTCATTTATTGCTGATCTAAACGCCCATAAAGCTCACCACTATGCTTGCTATCATGCCCTCTATCGCCTTTTTGCAAAATGTAATCCATAAAATGCTTTCATGGTAACCCAAGACATCAGCGGACAGCGATAAGATCTCCAGGCCCCCGTGACAGGCAGGAACTTGCAAGGATGGAGTTAATAACGCAAACTTTTGAAAAAAATGAAACTGGCAGAAGGAGATGGGGAAGGGAATAAAAAGGGCCGGTGTGGTTCTAATTGGGACCATGTGAGTCTCCTTAGAGAAGGATTAGAGGAAAGAGACAGGCCTCGCCCGGGAAGATTAGTTTCAATTAGATGGGCTGGAGGCGAAAGTCAGGACTTGGTGAAAGATTAAAACAAGGAGGGAGAAAGTTTGCATAGCTTTCGCTTGGGGCCTGCAAAGGAGGGTTCATTGAGATTCGGATAATTGAAGGCAAAAAGCTAGGAAGAAGTCACATTAATTGATTTGATACTGCCTTTTTTTTGCTCCCCTAACCCACTTTGCAATTTTGTTCCTTAGCTTCCCCCAACCATATGTGCCCCTGGCATTTTATAAACCCTCTCCTTTTGGAAATTGGAAATATGGTGCCTGGAATATTCACGGGATATTGCACATGAGATATGCTACTTACCAAAGGCGGTTTGCTGCTTTGAAATAGTTGCATTATGGTGGATTGGACCCCTCATGCAAATCAGCAAGGCGGCCAACTGACTGCTGGCATAGCTTCTGTAGGGCTGCTGCACTGGGGCTGAACCTGATTTTCCTGAAAATGGTTCCAAGTTCAATTCCCAGCAGATAGAAGTCTTATCAAGCTCTGCCGGAAATCCTGGATAGCTGCTGCCAGACAGCGAAGACCAAGTGTGGTGTCCCCAAATGCTGTGGGACTACAACTCTCATCGGCCCCAACCAACATGGCCAATGGTTAAGGATGATGGGAGTTGTAGTCCAACAACATCTGGAGGGCAACACCCAGACTATTCCTGGCACAGACAACCCCGAGTGAGATGGACCAACAGGCAGACTCAGTACAAGGTAATTCTCAAGGTAATTCCAATTGTTGACTGGACAACTCATAGTTTTTATGGTCACCTTTCAGCTTTGCATCAAGTATCCTGAACTAAATCAATGCTGTCACTGTTACTACCAAACAGCTAAACTCCCCTTTTCACATGTTACAAGGGCAGCTGTCCCAGCGGGTTGGTTTTCCTTCGAGGAGATCTTAAGTTAGGATTTGGTTCCACTGTGGTCTTTACAAAACTACAGTATGGGAGCTTTTCCTTCCAGCTGTTATAACACTTATAAACATCCCATTGCTGTACTCTCCCCATAAACACAAATCTGCCCAAGCAGTCCAGGAGAGATGAGCAGTGATGTAAAAATTCACTTTCCAACACGTTGAAGGGTTAGGCAGGGTTTTTTGTTTTGTTTTTTCTTTTGACGGGGTGTGTGGAAGTGGCAGATATCCAATTTGGGGAGAAATATTTCCAGGTGAACCATCACTAGACTTGGCTATGCCCCTCAGGAACAGGATATGCATTAAAAATTGAGAAAACAATTTTTTCAATCTATCAACAGATAGTTTTAACACTAAAAGCAGGAATGATCACGGTGGTAATGACATTGTCAAATATCCTCCTGAATTTTGACTACAAAGCCCATGATGCAGTGTGACTATGATCACAGCATACATGTTCAGAAAAATCTGTATCCCATAAGATATCCATTCATTTTCAAAATGTCTGTGTGCGCCACTCATCAGATAAAGAGTCACTAGCAAAGTGAATATTACAATGCAATATTCGTAATAAAAACGTTATTGATATGATTAGTGCTGTCCAAGCATGCCCAAAAAGTGCAAGTAGATAAATAGGTACTGCTCCGGTGGGAAGATAAATGGTGTTTCCATGCGCTGCTCTGGTTTCGCCAGAAGCGGCTTAATCATGCTGGCCACATGACCCGGAAAAGCTGTCTGCGGACCAACGCCGGCTCCCTCGGCCTGTAAAGCGAGATGAGCGCCTCAACCACAGAGTCGTCCGCAACTGGACTTAACTGTCAGGGGTCCTTTACCTTTACCTTTACATTTATTTTCCTCCCCAAGGTGACTTAACAATATCAGGAAACAAAATTCCTGACATAATCAAAGGCCGGAGTAAATTATGTCTTCACCTGGTGCTCAAAAGACAACAGACCCAGAACACGACTCTCTCTGGTCACCACCTGGCATAACGACCACAGTCTAGACTCCATATGGCACAATGGCCTCTCAGGAGAGTCTCAGTCAGGTAGGTTGAGTCAGGCTAGAAGAGCAAACCATTGATACCTCCAGGACAACTACTTCAACAGAGTCTGTTCCTCAGATTGTGATGGCGTTGCAAAACTATAAGGAGGCCCTAGTGAAACCACCTACTAGCTGCAATGTCATTACTTCTCAATTGCAGTGGCTCATAAAATTTAGCATCTCACATCAACTCATTTAAAATGGAAAGTACTGACCAGCAAAGTTTTTTGTTCTGAAAGTCAGGCCCTGAAGGCAAGTATATAATGCCCAAGTCATCAAGCTCATGAAGAAAGGGTCCTTTTGATCCCTGTACAGGCAGCAGCCAATTTGCACGGGAGTTACATTTCAGACCTCCCCTCACGCATTGGTAGGGCGCATGTAAGCCCGCCCTGCCCTGTTCTGTCCCTTTTTGTGACATTTCTGTGACCTTTTTGGTCACTTATGGGTTCAGTGCAATGCACACCTACATGGTACTGCACATATCAGACACGCCGAAAACAGTTGCTGCCTGCATCTCAGACAACTCCATATTGCATGGTCCACTGTTTCCTCCATGCCAGAAACTTCACAAAGGTGAGTGGCAGTTATTCCAACTTTAAACAAATTACCCCACAGAGTATACACTGTCCTATCAAAATCCTACACATCAACTATGTGTTTCATCCATCCCCATTGATTAGAAATCTGAAAACCTTCAAGAAATGGACAAGTAGAAAATACTTCCTACCTGTGAGACCTTTTTCTCACTTTCCTTACAATCCAGCCATGAGCTTCTGCTTAGCTTAGCACTTTCCTTCCAGGAAGGACAATGGTGATGCAATGGCAATGCCCTGCTGTCGCAACACAACATGATCCACCATCTCATAAGCAACACGACAGAGTCTTTGTGGATTTCAATGGCTTTGCAAAGCCAGAGGAAAGGCCTTGGTACTGCCACCTGCTGGTCACAGTGCTATTGCACTTGGCTTGCAATCAGTCACAGAGACTTTTATGCCTCAAAAACTCCCTAAACTCCTCCATCTGCACTATATATTTAAAGCAGAATCATGCCACTTTAAACAGTCACGGCTTCCCTCACAGCTGTAGTTTGTTAAGGGTGCTAAAAATTGTTTGGAGGCTCCAATTCTCCCTGAGTTACAATTCTCAGATGAGTTTTAACAACCAATCCCCTCTTCCCAGGGGATTCTGGGAATTATACATCCATGACGGGAAAGGGGGTCTCTTAACAACTCTCACCACCCTTAACCTTCAAAAGGGGAACTGTTTAAGGAAGTGGACGGTAAGAAGTTAATGGGACCCTCACCCCATTTTCAGGGGATCATCTATCCAGAACAAAATGTTGGTGGGAAATTTGGAGTGTTGGGTTGAATTTTTTTTTGGCGGGGGGAGGGCTTGTCTGAGCTGTTGTAAGTGATGGGAGGGCAGTGGGGACCTTTTCATTTGCTTTTGCACTCTAGAACCACCCCCCCCCCAGAATAGATAATAGTTTTCCCATCCAGGGCCGGATTTAGGTTTGATGAGGCCCTAAGTTACTGAAGATAATGGGGCCCTTTATATGTCCCGCTGTCCTTTGTCAACAACAAATTGTCACTGTTTTTTCTGTTGAATATATGCTATATGGTAATTTATGGACCTAATAGGTATCTAAAGCCATTTGCACAAAATATGTATTTTATCAAAGTAATTGTTGAACTAAAATACAATTAAGAAGAAGTATATTCATAGTGAATTTTTTTTGGGGGGGGCCAAGAGAGTGGAGCCCTAAACTATAGCTTGTTTAGCTTATACAGTGGTACCTCGGATTACATACACTTCAGATTACATACGCTTCAGGTTACAGACTCTCCTAACCCAGAAATATTACCTTGGGTTAAGAACTTTGCTTCAGGATGAGAACAGAAATCGTGCTCCGGCGGCAGCAGGAGGCCCCATTAGCTAAAGTGGTGCTTCAGGTTAAGAACAGTTTCAGGTTAAGAACGGACCTCCGGAACGAATTAAGTACTTAACCCAAGGTACCACTGTACGTAAATCCGGCACTGTTCCCATCTGATCATCTATCTTTGGCTTGTTGGATTTTCGAAGGAAGATATAACTGCTGCAGGTAGGAGCCTCTTCCATCCAAACTGGGTCCAGAGTGCATTGTCAGGGTTTGATTCTCCCACGTGTGCCATTTCCCCTCCCAAAATTGCTTTGAAACTGCTACGTATCCCCTGAAGGGTACATTTTCAGGGCAGATAGAAGTCCAGGAGGATAGTGTTTTCTCTGTGTCTCTCCAGCTCTTAGTCTGGGGGCTGGGGGCTGGGAGTCCTCTCTCCACATCCCTGCTCCCCATCCATCAGATGATCTTGGCTGAAGGTCACTATCTGAGAGGTCACTATCAGATGGACAGGGGGAAATGTTGGCTCACTGCCCCGAATCGGATCAGAGCTGCATTGCACAGGGCTCCCTGCCTCCCCTGTCAAAACTCTGAAATATGGCCGGGAAACATACATCCAATTGATCCATATTAGATCAATCTTCTGTATTTGCCTTCTTTCCTTTACAGATTTCATCGGAAGATTGCAAAAGCACAGGAATTAACAATGCTGAGTCAATTACGCTTAAATGCGTTTTCACAGCAGGGCCAAAGAAACATTAGTACTAATCAAAACCACCACATCAACAGGAATTCCCAAGCAGATTTCTCCCTCCCCTTCTCCCTCCTGCCCGCCCCCTTTTATGAGAATGTTCTTTCTTGAGGAACATCAGTAAAGTATTTAGCGAACAGGCAGAAGCATGAGCTGTGAAAATGTGATAAAATAATTCATTTCCTCGTTGCAGTGGGGAAGAAAATCTGTTCTCTTGTATAGATTACGGTGGACCCAAACATTTGCATTTAAGCTAATATCCATCACCAGCAGGAGGGGGCATGAGCGGTGCGAAAAATGATCGGGCCATCAAGCTAACTGCAAGGCCACATCTTTCATGCTCTCGGGAATGAACCAGAAGGGAACAGCCTTACTGAACTTAAGAACATAAGAAGAGCTCTGTTGGTGGATCAGGCCAATGGCCCATCTAATCCAGCATCCTGTTCTCAGCCAGATGCCTCAATGGGAAGCCCACAAGTAGAAAAGGGAAAAGAGAAAAGCACTCTTACAAGAGAAAAGCACTCTCAAAAGAGAAAAGCACAGTCAAAAGAGAAAAGCACTCTCACAAGAGAAAAGCACTCTCCTGTCCGGTGGTCTCCAGCAACTGGTATTCAGAAGCATTGCTGCCTTTGATCAAGGAGGGAGAGCATAGTCATCATAGCTAGTAGACATTGTTAGCCTTCTCTATGAATCCAAGTTGAGGACCATAACTGCCCCCTGTGACAGTGAGTTCCATAGTTTAACTATGCATACCCTCCAACATTTGTCTGATGAAAATAGGGGTGTCTAATAATAATAATAATAATAAATATTTTATTATTTATACTCCACCCATCTGACTGGGTTGCCCCAGCCACTTTGGGTGGCTTCCAACATATATAAAGGTAAAGGTAAAGGTAAAGGGACCCCTGACCATTAGGTCCAGTCATGGCCAACTCTGGGTTGCGGCACTCATTTCGCTTTATTGGCCAAGGGAGCTGGCGTACGGCTTCTAGGTCATAGCCTCCGGATCATGTGGCCAGCATGACTTCTGGCGAACCAGAGCAGCACACGGAAATGCCGTTTACCTTCCCGCCGGAGCAGTACCTATTTATCTACTTGCACTTTGACGTGCTTTGGAACTGCTAGGTTGGCAGGAGCAGGGACCGAGCAATGGGAGCTCACCCCGTCACAGGGACTCGAACCGCCAACCTTCTGATTGGCAAGTCCTAGGCTCTGTGGTTTAACCCAGAGTGCCACCCGCATCCCTTTCCAACATACAGTGGTACCTCGGGTTACATATGCTTCAGGTTACAGACTCCGCTAACCCAGAAATAGTGCTTCAGGTTAAGAACTTTGCTTCAGGATGAGAACAGAAATTGCATAGTAGCAGTGGGAGGCCCCATTAGCTAAAATGGTGCTTCAGGTTAAGAACAGTTTCAGGTTAAGTACGGACCTCTGCAACGAATTAAGTACTTAACCTGAGGTATCACTGTATATAGAAACATAGTAAAACACAAAACATTTTTTTAAAACTTCCATATACAGGGTGCCTTCAGATGTCTTCTAAAGGTTGCATAGTTACTAATCTCCTTTCAGAAAGTTGGGCGGTTTCTGTAAATCCAGGGCTGTCCCTGGAAAATAGGGGCACTTGGAGGGTCTGACTCTGTACTGACCCCTTCAAACTGAACATGGTGATGATATCATCCAGTGGTCTCCAGTGCCCATTGGTAAGTGGTAGGGCGGAAGGCAAGGAGCTCAACAGTAGGTGGCGCTAGAGCCAATGACAGGGAGAGCTGACCAATTTGACTTTTGTGCACTTGGCTGAGTGGCACAAGGACAGAACTTGAGACTAAGGAGGAAGAACCAGCCTGCCAGTGCCACCTCTTGGACAGGTGAGGGCTGGCTGAAGACAGACCACAGCTGGTAGGGCCTTCAGTGATATTGCCTCTTAATCACCTCTTCTCCACTCATTCTTCCAGGTGTGAAAGGAGCCCAGTTTTGTGCCTTAAAGCTATGCCGAGATGAAGGAAAGGCAGCTTCAATTTCAGTTTATTATATAACACATATTGATATTGCCAATCTGACATTCTCTGCTTGAGATTTACTCAATGGTATCGATCATCTCCCCTCAAGGAAACCTGGAGGCAAACAAAACCTGTGCATATGGATCAATGCAGTCCCTGGACCTTGTCTGGAACAATAGGGAGGCTCCATAAAACACATTCTTATTGGTGACTCTTTGTTCAGGGCAGGGAAGGGAAAGGCAAGGGAAGGGGAGGGAAGGGAAGGGAAGGGAAGGGAAGGGAAGGGAAGGGAAGGGAA